ACAAGACATCTATACTAAATGTTCAAAAACTAAAAGCTTTTGTTCTAAAATCAGAAAAAGGCAAGTATGCCTACTATCACCACTCCTGTCCAACATAGTTCTAGGAACATTAGCCAAAGCAATTAAGCAAGAGAAAGAAATATGGATAGGAAAGGAAGAAGTTAAATTATCATTATTTGGTGATGGATTGCATGATACTTTCCATAGAAGACTACAAAAACCACCAAAACCTCTCGGAATTAATAATCAAATCAGCAGTATAACAGGATACAAAGTCAATACTCAAAGATCAGTAGTATTTCAATACACAAAAAACTCACTGAAAGAGAAATTAAGGAAATAACACCTTTCACAATAGCATCAAGAAAAATGAAATACTTAGGAATCAATTTAACAAAGGAAGTAAAAGACCGCGACATTGAAAACTACAGTACTCTGAAAAGGAGATCAAAGAGGGTATCAGAAAATGGAATGATTTCCCCTTTCTTAGATAGGCAGAACCAATATAGTCAAAATGGCTATACTTCCAAACTGTTATGCGATTTAATGCAATCTCATTTGAAATACAAATAGCATACCTCACAGAACTAGAGAAAACAATTCTAAAATTCATTTGGAACCAGAAGAGACCTGGAATAACAAACAAAATTCTAGGCAATAAAGGCAAGGCAGTGTCATCACAATTCCCAACTTGCAATTATACTACAAAGCTACAGTGATGAAAACAGCATTGTAGTGGCAGAAAAAAACATACCCTGGGATCAAGAGAACAGAATAGAAGATGCAGATAGAACTCCAAACATACTCAGCTGCTTTATTTTTGATGAAGGGCCCAAACACCTTCACTGGAAGAAAGATAGCTTTTTAATAAATGGTGCTAGGCAAACTGACTTTCCACATGCCCCAAATAAAACCTCTAACTGTATCTCTCACTATGCACTAAGGTGAAATAAAAGTGGATTAAAAACCTAAACATTAAAAGAAGAACACTTAATCTGCTGGAAGATAGAACAGGCAAAACACTTCAAGATATAAATGTAGGTAAAGACTTGTGTGCAAAATCCTGATCACACAGGAAGTATTACACAGAATCAACAACTATGATCACATCATATTAAAAAGTTTTTGCACAGCAAAAGAAACCACCAACAGAGTGAAGGGACAACCCATACAATGGGAAAAACAAATTTACCAGCTACTGCTGGACAAAGGAGTGACAGCTAGAATATATAAATAACAAAAACCACACCTTTTGTGCCAGTTACTTTTCTTGTTGCTGAGACAAAATACCCCACAAACAAAGTTAAAGGAGAAAAGGTTTATTTAGCTCATCGTTTGTAGAGGTTTCAGTTCATAATTGGCTGGTTTCAAGGCAGGGTGGATGGCACACAAGTATTGCAGAGAAGAAGCAGTTCATGGCCTGCAGAAGGTAGCAGAGAGAGAACAGGATGACCACAGCTCTTTCTGTCCCTTATATTTTATCCAGGCTACTTAGGATATGTAGCACCCACACCCTTAATCCTAGTGCCCTTGATCCTAGCATTGTACCATGAACCAATCCCAGCATCACATACTCTAGATCCAGCCACCTCTGAAAAAGCCCCACCTATGACTGCATGAGGCTTTGGGGAAACATCTAGACACAAACCATAATACTTCACAAATTTAATGACCAAATTAAAAAATGGGCATTTCAAATGAATAGACACTTCTAAAATGAAGAAGTACAAACAGCAAATGAATAAACAAAAAATATTCAACCTCTCACTCCAGAAAGAATGCTCTCTTCAAGGAATCAATCAATAACAAATGCTAGTGATGTTGTGAAGAAAAAAGGAACCCTTCTGCACTGTTGGTGGGGAGTATATGTTGGTACAACCACTGTGAAAATAAGTATGGAGATTCCTCAAAAAACTAAAACTAGAAGTTGCATTTGACCCACTATTCTCCTTCTTAGTATGTACCTGAAAGGGTTAAAAGCATCATAGCACAGTCACACACACACACACACACACACACACACACACACACACACACACACACACGCTTATAGTAGCACTGTTTGTAATAGCTGAATCTTGGAAACAGACCAGATGCCCATCAACAGATAAATGGATGAAGAAAATGTGATTTTTATATACAATGGAGTACTACACTGTCATTAAGAGAGATGAACTTGAGACACTTTTAGGATAAAGCATGAAAACATAATTTTAAGTGAAATAAATTGGACACACATGTTTAAAAATCACATTATTTCTCTTGTGTGATTAACCCAAAGTGTGAATAAAGACCAACTGGAGGATAGATATTGGGAAGTAGGAAGAAAATATTCAAATGTGCTGGGGAAAAGGGGAGTAGAAAAGGAGAAAGGAAAAGAAAAAATAACAGAAAGAAAAAATGGAAACAAAGTTTTTGTAAATGGATAGGGGGAAGGAGGGTTGAAGGAGGAGAGAATTGGAAAAAAAAGAAGACTCAAGATATACAATGGAGTATTACTCAGCTATAAAGAAAGATAAACTTGAGACTTTTATAGGTAAATGGATGCAACTAGAGATCATACTCAT